GTTCGCCTGATCGATTGGCAACTGATGCGATATGCCTCCCCGGTCACCGATCTAGCCTATTTCCTCTTCACAGGAGGACTACTACGAGGAGTTGGGGCTGCACCTAAACAGGTAAGAGAAACCAAATCTGAGAGATTTGATGGTAGTGTTTCGAACTTTTACACTTTTGCAACAGATTAGGCGAGCAGTTGGAGCAACTTCTTCCCCGTCCTGCCTTCGATGACCAAGTGGCCACCAAAGCTCCTGTGGGCCTGCTCCTCGCCATGATGGTTCTGCCCATCGTGACAATGCAGGGACAGGATGTGCCCGACCTCCAAGCGATCAGCGAGCGAATCGAGGCCGGAGCCACCACGGATCTGCAGGGCGCCGGATTCCTGGGCGTGGGCAACGAGGCGACTTTTAAACAGCGTATGCGAGAGGTGATCCTCGACTGCGTGGACTTTAACTATATCTAGGAAGCAATGGGTATGGAAGCTCACCTTTTGGCGAGCCACTTGCATCGGATTCAGGCGGAGCTTCTTGGCGCTGGTGCCAAAGCGCAAAGTGGCCAACGTCTCGCTAAGATCGCATCGATGGGGACTGATGCAGGCCAGGAAGGTTAGATACGATTGCGCGGTGAGCGAATCTGGAAAGGATAAGGAGATTAAGTACATAATTCTTATATTGGAATTATAATCAGGATAATTATACTATCAATAAAGGTTTTAACAAAACAGATGCTTTAAATCAGCGGTCGGCACGGAATACAATGACCTTTTGTCATTTATTTATGTGAAAATTGCTAGAATACAAATTGTAACTACAATGTATTGGTTTCGTAAATTATTGTTCTGTGGGCGCCACAGTTTTGCGGTGGTATAAAAACGACCAAATTAAGAAATATGAATATGCAGAAGCGTAACACTCTATGAACGTTTCCACTCACCTTGTAGAACTGTGGTGAGGACACTGTCGCGGTAGGGAATCACAGTGCGGCCAGCCGCCATGGACATCACCACCTTGTTGATGCTGAGCAGTCCCAGGTTGATGTTGACTCCCTCCTGCTTGGCCACGCCCGGTGCGCCTTACACCCTCCGATCCGGCCAGATCAACTATATTTAGTCTCGCATGGCTGGTTTTACTTTTCACATGTATGGTTACTATGGCGTGTGATCTGGAACTGCTGGAATTCATCTTGGTAGAGCGCACGCGACGATTCCCCGTGCCCTGTTGCAGCAGGTCCTGCAGATCCTCTTGGCTGCTCAAGGGAAGGCAGGTGCATCTGTGGCAACGCGCACCATAGGCGTATGTGGTGAGGAGCCCAGGAGATCATAGGCTTTTTCGTTGTAAATTTCGATAAAGGAAGCGAACAACTGGATGGGCTCCTTTTCGTTCTCCTGCTTGGCATTCACACGCTCTAAGATGTCGGCCAGACAGCGGGGCAAAACACCAAGATGCTCGGGCTTTTGGATCTGCAGAGGATTGGAGGGAATATACATATGTATTGAAAGTTGGATTCCATTATGATCATTAGGCCAAAATATATGCCATTTGAAAGAAAAACCCTATTTTAATATAAATATTTTGACACTAAAAGCATAGTTCTATGTTTTGAGCATATGGTATAATGAAGTGGTTGAGTTATTCTACTTAGACACGGGATATTCTAGCTTTAAAATCGTTTTGAAACTAAAAGTTTAAAGTGATCATTCAACTAATGATGGATAGCTATTGGGATACACTAACTATAATAATCTCCCCAAAAAAAATTGATCTGTTGGGAAAATCAAGGGCTGCTATGAGCAAGGAACTGGAACCCACCTTGTCCGGAGGCGCCATTCCCATGGAGTAGCTTTTCCCCGTTCCCGTCTGCCCGTAGGCCAGTGCCGTGCACTGGAATCCCTGGAGCGCCTTCTCTACCAGCGGCAGGATCAGAGCCAGGTACATCTCATCCTGGCCGACGGTCGACGGGAAGGCGTGGTCGAAGTGGAATTCATTCTGCTCCACCACTAGCGACTGAAAATTGCAGATACATGGTCAGTTACAGTTAGTTGCTTGGGTCCCAAAATTGATAATTGTACCTTTCCATCGCCCCATGGCGGAAATTCAACGACGCTCGGCTCCCGACGCCCCAAAAACTGGCGGTAAGGCGCCTCGCGGACGGCAATGCGCACTGCGCTCAGTTTGTCCATAAGACCTTATTTTGTTTTTATTCCAAATTTTTCTTGCTTGGCTTGGCTGTGGTTTGACGTGCCGTTGTTGTTTTTGTTTGAAAACTCCGATTTTGGGCAATTTTGATTTTCGCTTTTCGATATCAGGAGACGCTATTTGATATCGAACCTATCGACAGTGTGACGGTACGGTCCCACCAAAATGTTGGCAGCGATAGCCGAGACACCCTCCTAACATTTGCGTGTGATCGTATACGAAATACCGTCGGCATATCTGGTATTTTTCCTGATATATACCGAAATATACCGACAGTACAGTCCCACCAAAATGTTGGCAGCGAAAGCCGAGTCACCCTCCTAACATTCCATTAGCTTTTTGGCGCACTTTTTAAATCACATGTTTTCACATGTCATGCTAAGCCTAGTAAGCTCAACTGGCTGCTTAAGCCAACGAGCAAGCTCAGCCTTGGCAACAAAGTTTTGCTTTTCAAATCAATTGTGGTGTCCTTAAAGACGTATTGCGTCCAATTATGGGGCATGGCGTCAGAATCGATCGTCATAAAAGTCCAAAACCGGGCGCTGCTTATGATTGCAGATGCGCCTTGGTACATCAGGAAGGACGCCCTAGCTAATGACCTCCACATTCCCTGTATTAGAATAAAGACTAACCGGCATTGGAGTCGGTACAACAAACGCCTCACTGCTCACAGCAACACACATAGCGGCTTCCTTGGCCAACCCAACAATTAAAAGAAGACTGAAGCGAAGGCAATTGCTAAAAAAAATAGTTAATCATCCCTCATATCTATTCCTGTTATCTGTTTTTCACAATATCGAACATATTATATTTCTTGCGTTATGATAAAAAGTATACTGAAAAGTATATATAATTTAGTATAAATTATCGTGTCTTCTCTGTTAGTTAGCTATTAGTTGCGTTATCGTTATATCGATGCGTCACGTTCATAGCGTCTGCACACAAATGTAGCTGTTCATATAGAATGTCGCTGTTGCAGAATCAGCTGATCAGCCATAGGAAACCGAAACCGAATAAGAAATAAACAAGCAATTAAATTTACCTCTCTCAAAACCGTAGGCAATTTGTAAACTGGCAAGTGGAATATTTACCACATCAGCAATCATTGCTGTTGGCGAATTGGTCAAGGCTGGGAGTTTCATTCAGGCAAGCAATTTATATACAGACAAAAAACTCTTTGGTAAAATTGGTCAATATAATAGTAAAATGGGCTTAACCCATCGAATTGGCAATTTGACCCATTAGATAGTTGCCCTTGTGTTACGTCACCCTAAGGGGTACTATGAAAAAAGCATGTAACCATAAAAAGAGGTAGAATGGGACATACCCATCGCTTGTACTCGTAAACATTCATAATACTCTGGACTCAGATGGGAATTATAAACATGGTACAAAGTTGTAAAGTTATCATTGCACATTGCACTAGAAGATTAATTAACTATTTACTAATTCAATAACAAACCAGCGAGAACACTATAGTCGAGTGTTTCGACTATCAGATACCCGTTACTCAGCTTTTAAATTGAAAATTGATCAAAGTTAATAACGTTTAGATGACCGCTTTCAAATTGGAAGTTGGTCGTGGGCAACTTTTTTTTTAGGAAAATCGATAGGTTTTAATGAAACCAATACATTTCTGTTTAATTTATTATTCTAGCATCAAAACTGTGAGCGTCACATAGTGTCAATTGATGGTATTTACAAGAGCTATACATTTCGTTCGCATTTTTTTGGGCGGCTTGTGGCCGTGGCACCCTGACAAAACAAGCTGCGCAGGAATCTCTAGAAAACGCCTCCTTATACCTGTTACTTATTTTCCGACGAATCTAGAATACGGTTTTACTCTACGAGTAACGGGTATTTTTTGTTTGCGGATATTTTTATACCGACTGTTTTGAGCAACTTGCTACACATGCCAACGATCCCCATTCCTTAAAAGAAAATTAATATTGCATATACTTATCTCCGAACTCATTAGGAACAGACACTCCGATTTTTCAGCCTACCCTCCGAAAAGATCTAAGAGGTCTCAGTGAATGTTTTGTATGTTGTAATAATGTCCGAGTTCTTTTCTAAAAAGACGCAAATGAAAACTCCGTGTTTTTCTTAATATTTATTAATTTGGTTTACAAATTTAATAATTCGCTTTGGAATAATAGTAGATATAGTCAACAAGAAAAACAGTATTGCGTCTGATGCTGGACTGGTAAGGACTGGACTGGTAATAAGTTCTGAATTTCGAATTTAATTTTATCAAAATCGGACGACTATATCATATAGCTGCCATAGGAACGATCGGAAAATTGGTGGGAAAAAAATATGAAACAAATTATAGCATCGGTGTTTTTTTTGACATATTATCCTATTATACTATTGGGAATATCATTTTTTGTATTTTTAAATTTAATAATTATCATTTCTATCATATCATATCATTTTTTGTATTTTTAAATTTAATAATTATAACGGCAAGGGTATACAAACTTCGGCTTGCCGATCTTCATTGTTATTATTTATTTATATATCACTATTACTAATTTAATTCTGATTCTGCTTTTAATTCTATCTTCTTTATTTTTCTCTTCTTTTAAAGCTCTTTACTCTCATTGTGTTAAATTTTGTTTGAAGCGAACAGAAGTCTTAATAAAACTAAAATGGGCAGGAAAAAAAATGTTCGCATTCTCCCCGACGGGGAATTGAACCCCGGTCTCCCGCGTGACAGGCGGGGATACTAACCACTATACTATCGAGGATTAGGTACCTTTCGAAGTATCCTAGGAGATACCAACAAAAATTTATACATACACGATTCGAACAGTGTTGGAAGTAAATAATTAATTTTATTGTGTTCTATGAAACCATGATCATATAAATATCACAAAAAGTGCGCTTTCTCTATTTGTGAGTATTGCACAGTCGATTAACATTTAAACTTAATTAAAATATCATTTTATAGCAGTCGGTGCTGAAAAAAATCCAACTTTTTGGTCCATATTTGTAAAAAGAACTGTGTACCTAAATAAGGCCTAGTATTCAACCTAACAAAAATGCGTCCAAAACCAAAAACTTTATATACAAAAAACGTTGTTTTTTTATATAAAGTTTTTGGTTTTGGACGACTTTTTGTTAGGTTGAATACTAGGCCTAAGACACATTGAATTTAAACTAGGAAACATGGCGCCGAAAGTTTTTTTTTAAAAAAGGCGTTTAGATTCTTGATAAGATTCATATTTATGAAAAGTCAGGGCAAATGTGACTTGCCAAAAAGTTCCAAGCCATGTATCTGGGTAGTTCAAAGTCATAATGCAAGCTAAAAGCAGTTTTAGGGCTTTAAAGGTACAGCAACACATATTTAGCACTTAAGATCCTTCAAAACGTCTTTGAAAATACTGGTGTTGATAAATATAGTCAATTTAGGAGAAATCAAGTCGCTACCGCCGTAAAAAATGAAGAAAAGACGGAATACATAAAAAAACGAACTAATGTCACTTGAGACTTTAGGTGTTAAAAAATAAACAAAAAATAAATTTAGTGTTTTTCTTCTTTGTCCGACAGTAGATAAAATGACAAACAAAATGAGGTGTGTTTCATGAAGATCCACTTACCAGGACACGCATAGTGATGAAAATAAAATCAGAATTGGTTTGGCAAAAAGCATGCGTTGCATACAAATTTATACTGACAGACTACTTTAATATAAACATTAAAATGTCGCTATGCGTATCCTGGTAGGTTATTGGCCGACCTTTATGAAACTCACCTCATTTTCTTGGTCTTTTATCTACAGTTGTACAAAGACGAAAAACATGAAAATCTATATTTTGTATTATTTTTTAACACCTAAAGTCTCATGTGACTTTAGTTTGGTTTTTATATTTTCTGTCTTTTCTTCAATATTTAACGGCGGTAACGACTGGATTTTTCCTAATAAGACTATATTTATCAACACCACTATTTTCAAAGACATTTTGAAGGATCATAAGCCCAAAATATGTGTTAGTCTACCTTTAAAGCTTTAAAACTGATTTGAACTTGGATGGTGACTTTGAACTACCCAGAGACTTGGCTTGAAACTTTGTGACAAGTCACATTTGCCCAGACTTTTCATAAATATAAACATTTTCAAGAATCTAAACGTTTTTAAAAAAAAAATTTCGACGCCACGTTTCTTAGTTTAAATCCAATGTATGCTATTTAGGTACACAGGTAATTTTACAAATATGGGCCTAAAAATTGGATTATCTTCAGAACCACCGACTGCTATAAAATTTTTTTTTAATAAGGACAAATGTTAATCGAACATAGTTGGAAACAAGTTTTTCCATAAAATAATATGTTGACTGTGCAATACTCACAAATAGGGAAAGCGTACTTGTTTTGCTATTTTTGATGACCGTATAAAACAGTTTTCACATAATGTACCTAATTTAAGACATTGGTTTACATACAGCTTATTAGAGAAGTAATCTAGCTTACATGAATCGATAAAAAGTCAAAAACAAACAAAAAACATTAAGAAATATTACACATATTACACACAAAAACCTTATTGTTAGTGTCAAGGTATGTGTTCTACTTATAAATAAGGATTTTGTAAATCATAAGAAAAAACCCTATAGATAATTGAACGTAAAACTGATCTTATATACGTATTAATCAAATCTCCAAGCAGTTGGCTTGGCTAAACCTATTCCAGCTCTTTCCGGGCCAAATTGGCAGGTCTTTTACTTGATCTAGATTCAGGAAGCATCCCAGGCGAGATCTAAATAATTGAGGAAACAACAGTCAGATAAGACTAAATTCAATTAGATACAATATCAACTAACCTATGCATAACCAAAGTAAAGGCTGTCTTTGGGCCGATACCGGGAATTTTCTGCAGCTCCTTCACGCTGCCCCTGTTGAGCAGGTCAAGGAATAAACTTTTATTATGGGCCATCCATTCATCGGCTGGAGAAGTGTTGTTTCTCGAACGACTTCTTTTTGGGGGAGCTTCAACCCGTGTAATGAGATCCTTGAGCTGGCTAAATTTCTCCTTTTTTACCGAGACGGAAGAGGAATGTTCTTGGCTTGCTGACTGTTGCGCGTTGCGCAAATTAATAACTTTGGGAATGACCCCGTAGCTCTGCGGTCTTTGGTTGGCTAGACGCATGGAGCGTCGGAGAATAGACGGTTGCTTGGGAACAGTAATCAAAGTCTCCTCCATTGGCTGGATCCCGCTGAGTTCCTTTAGTATGCTGGATGACCGCAGACTTATGGGACTGACATTTGTCCTGAAGAGCTGGGTGCGAACTGTGGCAGAGATCGACGGCATCTCAGCTGGCTCCTCCTGCTCATCAACCTCGGCAATGCTCACTGCGGTGGAGTGCAGGCTGCTGGGTTGTCCATTTCCCACTCCAGGTGGGGGCATCAGTTGCCTGTCCTTTTCGATTTCAGCCTGGAAACCCACCAGGCTGAGACTGCTGTCCGAGATGTGAATAGATGAGGGTTCCAGCGTTGTATCCTCCAGCTGCAATAGCTCGCGAGCCCTACGAGGAATAGCATCAACAAAATTTTTCGGGAATTCTAGGGTTGTTTTTCTGTTACTCACCTTTTCTTGGCTTTGGGGGTCAGGCCCAATTCGGAACGAGTTCGCTGGAGAACGTTGGCCAGCGGCTTGGCCATTTCGGATTTTGGGTTGGGAACACACAGGCTGTTCTGATCGGCGGCTTGGCGTTTGATGGCCGTCGAGCTGCTCAGCACTTTGCGGAAGACGTGAGGCGTCCGTGTGGCCAGCGATTGCTGCAATCAGAGTAAGACAGAAGATTGAAACTTGAGTAAGTGCATCATTCGACTTGCGGTCGTTGCGGTTGGATTGAGTTGTCTATATAAACGGGTCACACTCGGGGCGGTGTCGTAGTGTGCAATGGAGCAGCCCAGCGAGAAGCAGCTGGAGGACGCGGAAGACCAAGAGCGGGAGCAACTTATAGAAGAGGAAGCCGATCAAGAGAAGGACCTGCAAGAATATATTGAAAATATTCTGGATTGTGATCTTGAACGGCAAGAGGATGAAGACCGACTCGATAAGGATATCGCAAAGGAGCAAGTAGAAGAAATAAAGGATAGTCCGAAGAATAAAAAAGATCAGGATTCGGAGGAGGATCCGGAACATGAATTGAGGAGAGGTGCATGTCAACCGGAATGTATTCTAGCGGAGCACTTAGTAAAAGAAAAGCTGGAAGAGAACACTGTGGATGAACAAGTTTTAGAAAAAGAAGATCTTACAGAAATAGAAGAGCTCGAAGAAGATATTCCCGAGCTTAAGGATCAGCTTTTAGAAAAAGAATATGAGCCCGAAGGACAATTACAAGATGAACTGGAAGAAACTACGCAGACCGAGGAACATTTGCCAATAAATCTGAAAGACCAGGCAATTCTGGAGAGTGACGAGTCTTTAAAAAGCGAAGAACAGCATCCACAAATCTCAGAGAACCCGGAGCAGCTCACAGATAATCTTGAAAATCTGGAGAAGCAGGGTAATCACAAGGAGCAAACTGCTGGTGCAGATTCAGCAGGCGATCACCAGGAATGCTCCGAGGTCAAACTGCCGGACCCAGGTGTGGACACCCAGAATAAGGAGTGCATAGACAGGATTGAGGAAGAACAAGAGAATGGTGAAGAACAAGGGGGAGAAGCATCGAAGCCAGAAGAGGATCTCCCCAACGAGCATGTAACCCAGTTCCTCCGCCAACTGGTCAACCAACTATGGCCGGAGCTAGGAGCCAATTCAGAACTACGTTTAAACAGAGCAAGTGCCAAGGGTGACAACTATTTGGGCGTGGTTTGGCGGCTACAGGTGGCTTCCGACTCGAAGCGCAGCCTGGTGGTGAAGCTTCCTCCCCAGAATCGCGTGCGCCGCAAGCAATTCTTCGCACGACCATGTTTCCTGCGAGAAACGGCAGCATATGAGGTGTTCCTGCCACTGGCTGACATGATTCAGGAGAAGTGGAAGATCCCCGCAGAGGATCGTTTCCGGCAGCACGCCCTTTGTTTCGGAACTCGTCAGGATGAGCCGAACGAATGCATCGTGCTAGAGGACCTATCTTGTTCTGGGTTCCATCTCCACAATCGCTTCCTGGACCTACCCATCGAGCATGTGCGTCAGGTTATCTGCACCTATGCCAAATTACATGCGATTTCTCTGGCCGGGAAGCGTCAGTTTCCTGAGAGAATGCATAAACTCCAGCAGCTGGTGGACATCTTTGAGCAGCGACGTGAGGATCATGCGTTGGGTGTCTACTTTGAGAATCTCAAAGGAAGTGCCCTTTCTTCACTAGTCTCACCGGGGGATGATCCCTACAGGATTCGCCTGGAGGCGTACTTTGCCAGAGGGTCGTACTTTGAGCTGCTGCTCCCTTTGGTCAGCGGATCCAATTGCGAACCCTTCGCTGTTATCTGCCATGGCGATTGCTGGAACAATAACATCCTTTACAAAAGAGCAGAGGGGGGAGATCTAGAGGATGTTCGCCTGATCGATTGGCAACTGATGCGATATGCCTCCCCGGTCACCGATCTAGCCTATTTCCTCTTCACATGCACCTCGCGAGACTTCCGACAACGGTACCTCAAAAATATGCTGGAGGAATACTACGAAGAGTTGGGGTTGCACCTAAACAGGTAAGAGAAACCAAATCTGACATATTTGACCGTAGTGTTACGAACTTTTACACTTTTGCAACAGATTAGGCGAGCAGTTGGAGCAACTTCTTCCCCGTCCTGCCTTCGATGATCAGGTGGCCACCAAAGTTCCTGTGGGCCTGCTCCTCGCCATGATGGTTCTGCCCATCGTGACAATGCAGGGCCAGGATGTGCCCGACCTCCAAGCGATCAGCGAGCGAATCGAGGCCGGAGCCACCACGGATCTGCAGGGCGCCGGATTCCTGGGCGTGGGCAACGAGGCGACTTTTAAACAGCGTATGCGAGAGGTGATCCTCGACTGCGTGGACTTTAACTATATCTAGGAAGCAATGGGTATGGAAGCTCACCTTTTGGCGAGCCACTTGCATCGGATTCAGGCGGAGCTTCTTGGCGCTGGTGCCAAAGCGCAAAGTGGCCAACGTCTCGCTAAGATCGCATCGATGGGGACTGATGCAGGCCAGGAAGGTTAGATACGATTGCGCGGTGAGCGAATCTGGAAAGGATAAGGAGATTAAGTACATAATTCTTATATTGGAATTATAATCAGGATAATTATACTATCAATAAAGGTTTTAACAAAACAGATGCTTTAAATCAGCGGTCGGCACGGAATACAATGACCTTTTGTCATTTATTTATGTGAAAATTGCTAGAATACAAATTGTAACTACAATGTATTGGTTTCGTAAATTATTGTTCTGTGGGCGCCACAGTTTTGCGGTGGTATAAAAACGACCAAATTAAGAAATATGAATATGCAGAAGCGTAACACTCTATGAACGTTTCCACTCACCTTGTAGAACTGTGGTGAGGACACTGTCGCGGTAGGGAATCACAGTGCGGCCAGCCGCCATGGACATCACCACCTTGTTGATGCTGAGCAGTCCCAGGTTGATGTTGACTCCCTCCTGCTTGGCCACGCCCTCGTGCCCGGTGCGCCTTACACCCTCCGATCCGGCCAGATCAACTATATTTAGTCTCGCATGGCTGGTTTTACTTTTCACATGTATGGTTACTATGGCGTGTGATCTGGAACTGCTGGAATTCATCTTGGTAGAGCGCACGCGACGATTCCCCGTGCCCTGTTGCAGCAGGTCCTGCAGATCCTCTTGGCTGCTCAAGGGAAGGCAGGTGCATCTGTGGCAACGCGCAGTCACCATAGGCGTATGTGGTGAGGAGCCCAGGAGATCATAGGCTTTTTCGTTGTAAATTTCGATAAAGGAAGCGAACACCTGGATGGGCTCCTTTTCGTTCTCCTGCTTGGCATTCACACGCTCTAAGATGTCGGCCAGACAGCGGGGCAAAACACCAAGATGCTCTGGCTTTTGGATCTGCAGAGGATTGGAGGGAATATACATATGTATTGAAAGTTGGATTCCATTATGATCATTAGGCCAAAATATATGCCATTTGAAAAAAAAACCCTATTTTAATATAAATATTTTGACACTAAAAGCATATGGTATTATGAAGTGGTTGAGTTATTCTACTTAGACACGGGATATTCTAGCTTTAAAATCCTCTTGAAACTAAGTGATCATTTAACTAATGATGGATAGCTATTGGGATACAATAACTATAATAATCTCCCCAAAAAAATTTGATCTGTTGGGAAAATCAAGGGCTGCTATGAGCAAGGAACTGGAACCCACCTTGTCCGGAGGCGCCATTCCCATGGAGTAGCTTTTCCCCGTTCCCGTCTGCCCGTAGGCCAGTGCCGTGCACTGGAATCCCTGGAGCGCCTTCTCCACCAGCGGCAGGATCAGAGCCAGGTACATCTCATCCTGGCCGACGGTCGACGGGAAGGCGTGGTCGAAGTGGAATTCATTCTGCTCCACCACTAGCGACTGAAAATTGCAGATACATGGTCAGTTACAGTTAGTTGCTTGGGTCCCAAAATTTATAATTGTACCTTTCCATCGCCCCATGGCGGAAATTCAACGACGCTCGGCTCCCGACGCCCCAAAAACTGGCGGTAAGGCGCCTCGCGGACGGCAATGCGCACTGCGCTCAGTTTGTCCATAAGACCTTATTTTGTTTTTATTCCAAATTTTTCTTGCTTGGCTTGGCTGTGGTTTGACGTGCCGTTGTTGTTTTTGTTTGAAAACTCCGATTTTGGGCAATTTTGATTTTCGCTTTTCGATATCAGGAGACGCTATTTGATATCGAACCTATCGACAGTGTGACGGTACGGTCCCACCAAAATGTTGGCAGCGATAGCCGAGACACCCTCCTAACATTTGCGTGTGATCGTATACGAAATACCGTCGGCATATCTGGTATTTTTCCTGATATATACCGAAATATACCGACAGTACAGTCCCACCAAAATGTTGGCAGCGAAAGCCGAGTCACCCTCCTAACATTCCATTAGCTTTTTGGCGCACTTTTTAAATCACATGTTTTCACATGTCATGCTAAGCCTAGTAAGCTCAACTGGCTGCTTAAGCCAACGAGCAAGCTCAGCCTTGGCAACAAAGTTTTGCTTTTCAAATCAATTGTGGTGTCCTTAAAGACGTATTGCGTCCAATTATGGGGCATGGCGTCAGAATCGATCGTCATAAAAGTCCAAAACCGGGCGCTGCTTATGATTGCAGATGCGCCTTGGTACATCAGGAAGGACGCCCTAGCTAATGACCTCCACATTCCCTGTATTAGAATAAAGACTAACCGGCATTGGAGTCGGTACAACAAACGCCTCACTGCTCACAGCAACACACATAGCGGCTTCCTTGGCCAACCCAACAATTAAAAGAAGACTGAAGCGAAGGCAATTGCTAAAAAAAATAGTTAATCATCCCTCATATCTATTCCTGTTATCTGTTTTTCACAATATCGAACATATTATATTTCTTGCGTTATGATAAAAAGTATACTGAAAAGTATATATAATTTAGTATAAATTATCGTGTCTTCTCTGTTAGTTAGCTATTAGTTGCGTTATCGTTATATCGATGCGTCACGTTCATAGCGTCTGCACACAAATGTAGCTGTTCATATAGAATGTCGCTGTTGCAGAATCAGCTGATCAGCCATAGGAAACCGAAACCGAATAAGAAATAAACAAGCAATTAAATTTACCTCTCTCAAAACCGTAGGCAATTTGTAAACTGGCAAGTGGAATATTTACCACATCAGCAATCATTGCTGTTGGCGAATTGGTCAAGGCTGGGAGTTTCATTCAGGCAAGCAATTTATATACAGACAAAAAACTCTTTGGTAAAATTGGTCAATATAATAGTAAAATGGGCTTAACCCATCGAATTGGCAATTTGACCCATTAGATAGTTGCCCTTGTGTTACGTCACTTTAAGGGGTACTATGAAAAAAGCATGTAACCATAAAAAGAGGTAGAATGGGACATACCCATCGCTTGTACTCGTAAACATTCATAATACTCTGGACTCAGATGGGAATTATAAACATGGTACAAAGTTGTAAAGTCATCATTGCACATTGCACTAGAAGATTAATTAACTATTTACTAATTCAATAACAAACCAGCGAGAACACTATAGTCGAGTGTTTCGACTATCAGATACCCGTTACTCAGCTTTTAAATTGAAAATTGATCAAAGTTAATAACGTTTAGATGACCGCTTTCAAATTGGAAGTTGGTCGTGGGCAACTTTTTTTTTAGGAAAATCGATAGGTTTTAATGAAACCAATACATTTCTGTTTAATTTATTATTCTAGCATCAAAACTGTGAGCGTCACATAGTGTCAATTGATGGTATTTACAAGAGCTATACATTTCGGTCGCATTTTTTTGGGCGGCTTGTGGCCGTGGCACCCTGACAAAACAAGTTGCGCAGGAATCTCTAGAAAACGCCTCCTTATACCTGTTACTTATTTTCCGACGAATCTAGAATACGGTTTTACTCTACGAGTAACGGGTATTTTTTGTTTGCGGATATTTTTATACCGACTGTTTTGAGCAACTTGCTACACATGCCAACGATCCCCATTCCTTAAAAGAAAATTAATATTGCATATACTTATCTCCGAACTCATTAGGAACAGACACTTCGATTTTTCAGCCTACCCTCCGAAAAGATCTAAGAGGTCTCAGTGAATGTTTTGTATGTTGTAATAATGTCCGAGTTCTTTTCTAAAAAGACGCAAATGAAAACTCCGTGTTTTTCTTAATATTTATTAATTTGGTTTACAAATTTAATAATTCGCTTTGGAATAATAGTAGATATAGTCAACAAGAAAAACAGTATTGCGTCTGATGCTGGACTGGTAAGGACTGGTACGTACTCTCCGGGACTCCTGTATATGTATATTCGATGTGTGATACGATGTATAGGTATCAGTGTTCCATTTCCAGGTCTAAAGAGGTGCGCATGCGCTTGTGGGCGTCGGCGGGGAATCACCGTTCGGGCTGACACTCCGCCTGCGCAATCACATCCCGCATCGTGTCCAACATTACAACGCTCTACTTCAATTGACCGCTGACAAAGTCGCCGCCGTTCCGGGTCCTAACAACTCCAGCTCCAGTTCGATGTCACCCATGGGATCTTGATGGGTGCATGATGGCCGATGTGAAGGAGAAGGGCACAGAACATGCTCAACCAAAGCCGAGGATTGGAGTGCCTTCCAATCCGGCGGCACCTGCTGCTGCCGTTCCGAGTCTTCACAAGTTCAGCTTCAGAACGATGCCAATAATGGCATCTTTGCCTCATATCTCTAACGCTTCCCGTTTCGTTGCTCATCCCGAGACCTAAGACCATCCGAGCGCTGAGGGAATCAATCCCTCGACCCACCGTTAAACATTTAGGAGTGATTTCATTGACTCCTGGAGCTGCCAGGGGAAGACCTTTGACAATAAGATATAACCTATAACCTATAATCGAAGGTCTTCATCAGGCAGTCCCACGAGTTTAAGAATTTAACCCTGGGGTTTAAGGATGGGTCGAAGGATTGGGGCCCTCACCGCTCGGGTGGTAGGGTCTCTGGACGAGCTACGAAACGAAAAGCGTTAGGGATACGAGGCGAAAATGCCATAGTTGACATCGATCTGAAGCTGAACTTTTGAAGACCCCGAACGGCAGCTGCAGGTGCCGCCGGATTGGAAGGCACTCCAGTCCTCGGATTTGATTGAGCCTGTTCAGTGCCCTTCTCCTTTATATCGTAAGGTAAGCAGCAGTAATCCCCGGCTCAGACTTCTGGCTGGGAGCCAGGGAGCAAGGGAACCAGGAGCTTCAGCGCATGCTGGCGGGGCCTTCTCCTCATCTCTTCGGTCCGCTCTAAATGCACCATCTCAAAATCCTCGACACTCACGCTAGAAAGGATCTCCACCAGCTTGCACCTTGATAAATCTGAAGCAAATCACTTACAAAATATTGGCCTTTACTTTCGGCTTTCAACTCACTGCAAACCAGGTCTAGGAAAATGCCACGTGCCTGCGGTTCGGCCCCCAATCGATGGTCCTTAAGCAGACTGTCCACGAACTCCAGATCAGAACGGATATAGAAGTCGCCTCGCACAGCTTGTAGCTCGTTTTCTCGTCCATCGTTAATGGGAATATTTTCCAAGTGCCTTCGAATGCCATGACAACTTGCAAAAGCCAACTTGATTAGCTGTAATTATTTCAGGGTTGCAGATTGGTTGAAGGCAACCCTGGATTCTTGGTATTTTCTGGAGACATGCGTAAAAATCTTTATATAGTGAATATGGGCCATTCCAGGGAGTCGCTTCAGACGTTCGTAATCTATTAAAATTTAAAAATCCCCTTTGCCTTTTACTGTTCCTAAGCATTTTTAATTTTTAAGATATCCTGAAAAGACTGTCGTTTTTGCTCGGGAGAAAAATAGAAGTGGGTTTTGCGGAAGTCCATTCAACCCTTGATTTCATCGAATTCTGACGGAATATTTTAATACGATTTTTTATAATGTTGAATATTAGAATAATGAACAATTAAATTTGGATTGACTCAGAAATTTCCAACAGTTATTTTTTTAAATTTTGTTTTAAACCTTTTTCGTTCTGGACACGTCGTTCAGGACATTTTTCTTTCTTCTAATTTAACAGTTTAACATGTAAATTTGGCATTGAGCACAACAATTTGTCACATATTAACGTTACTATTTAAAAATAACAACAGAACGGAGGTCTATGAAATACCTAAAAAATACCAAAAACTACTCTTTGGGTATATTGGTAGGCTTTGATATTACTATTAATCAAATTATACAAAAATTTCTTGACGAAATAAGCTGTGCAGGAATCTCTAGAGAGCGCTTCCTTATACCTGTTACATGTTTTCCGACGAGTCTAGTATACTAGTACGGTTTTACTCTACGAGTAACGAGTATTTTTTGCTTGCGGTTTTTTTTATACCGATTACCGACTGTTTTGACCAACTTGCTACACATGCCAACGATCCCCATTCCCTAAAAGACATTATATATCTCCGAACGCATTAGGAACTCAACAGATTCTGTGACACTCCGATTTTTCTGTCTACCCCCGAAAAGTTCTAAGAGGTCTCAGTGAATGTATATCATCTGATAATAATGTCCGAGTTCTTTTCTAAAAAGACGCAAATGAAAACTCCGTAATTTTCGTAATATTTCTTAATTTTATTTATAAATATGTAATTCGCTTTAAAGTAATACTAGATATAGTCAACAAGAAAAACCGTATTGTGGCTGATGCCGGACTGGTAAGGGATCCGTCTTCGTACTCTCCGGGACTCCTGTATATGTATATTCGATGTGTGATACGATGTATAGGTATCAGTGTTCCATTTCCAGGTCTAAAGAGGTGCGCATGCGCTTGTGGGCGTCGGCGGGGAATCACCGTTCGGGCTGACACTCCGCCTGCGCAATCACATCCCGCATCGTGTCCAACATTACAACGCTCTACTTCAACTGACCGCTGACAAAGTCGCCGCCGTTCCGGGTCCTAACAACTCCAGCTCCAGTTCGATGTCACCCATTGGATCTTGATGGGTGCATGATGGCCGATGTGAAGGAGAAGGGCACTGAACAGGCTCAACCAAAGCCGAGGATTGGAGTGCCTTCCAATCCGGCGGCACCTGCTGCTGCCGTTCCGAGTCTTCACAAGTTCAGCTTCAGAACGATGCAAACAATGGCATCTTTGCCTCATATCTCTAACGCTTCCCGTTTCGTTGCTCATCCCGAGACCTAAGACCATCCGAGCGCTGAGGGAATCAATCCCTC